ATGAGAGCAGACCGTTCTGCCACTATCAGATGAGACCTCAGAAGCATTCGCGTTGTCAGGACTTGAGACGGAGTTGACGCTATCTTCGGTCGCAACAGAATCCTCGGCCTTGTCTTTGAAAAGCCTCTTGAATAAACTCGGGCTGCTACGGTCTTCCTTTTTAGAAGAAGATCGGCTCTCGTCCCCGGTGCGGTCCTTGTCCCGAAACAATCGTTTAAAAAATCCATCTGCGCCTGGGCTGTTCTCCGGGGTTCCGAAGGTGGCGCTGTCGAAGATGCTTTCTTCTTCCGGATGAACCCGGAAAAACTTCCTAAAAAGAAAAAACTCGGACCCTTCTTCTTCATCCCAAATCTTCTCTTCGTCGTCTGTTTTGTCCCGATCGTCGTGCTTCTCCCGGAATATCTTCTTGAACATGAAAAGCAGGCCTTTCACCTCGTCCTCGTCCACGCTTCCCCTCACCCGATCCTCTCCATCGCTCTTGTCTCGGAAAATCCTCCGGAAGAAACTCTCCGTGGCTAGCTCGTCACTGCGAACGACCCGTTCATCGTCTCGAAAGAGCCTACGAAAGAAGCTTTCCTGCTCGGCATCCTTGGACTGATCCGGATCCTCCTCCTCCTTGTCCCGGAACTTTTTCAGCACGTCGCGAACTTTGGTGGCGGGCATCAGCTTCTTGAAGACCCTGTACGACGACTCCGACGACTCTTCCTGCGAGCCTTTCACCCCTGCGGAAGCCTTCGATCCTACTGCATCATCACTCACGGCTGCAGCAGTAGCGGTGGCGGAGGCGGCGGCGGACTTCTGGATGGGAGAAGATGTCAACGGGAGTATCCTTCGTGACGAAGATGAAAGGAGCTTGAACATGCGACTCTTACCGCTAGGACTGGTGATAGCCTTTTGCGGCTTTATCAGCGGCGGCCAGTCGCCGGCCAGCGACGCCAATTGGCACTTCTCTTGCAGCCTGCGAATCTCTTCGTTGTCATCTAGATCCTCCGCCTCGGCCAGGAGAAACCAATGGACCTTGACGGCAATCTTCAAGGACTTGGTGCACATATCCACGATATACTTGTCCAGCGAGGGGCTCGGCTTGGTGATCATCATGTAGCAGAGCTGGAAGAGGTAGCTCTCAATGCCGGTGATGGGCAGCGTATACATCCTGTTGCAAAGATAGTCCCGGACCCCGGAGTGCTCGTGCTTGTACAAATAGCTCACGGCGATCCATTCGCAGAAAAAGGCCGAGTCGAAGAACCGGATGAGCCAGCCATTGTCCCCGGAGCTACTGGGAGTTCTCGTGATCTCGCGAGGCTCCTCGGCCTCGGCCCCCGAGTTATAGCCAAGAATGCGTACCATTTCTTCGTCTTGAGCCCGACCTAGGAATTTTTTCGATTCTCGATCTATCCTGAATCTACAATCCTCATCCCAGAGCTCTTCTTGCCGCGCATTGAGCTATAGCCTAGGGCAGCACTCACCTCACGGCGCCATGGAATCCTCGTCCCCGCGCGGCCGATCTTTCTTCTTGGATCCACCTGCGGGAGCCTGCGCAGATCCGCGTCATCGCTGCTGCTGCTCCCAAGCCCTAAACCTAAAATCCGGAGGAAAAGAAGATCCCTGCTCTAAATCGGATGCTCCGGACGCCTGGATTCGCGCGACCTAGAATTTCCTCTTCTTTCCTCTGCGGTGCTTTCACTGAGCTCTTGGCCTTGGCTATGGTGGAGCCTTCTCCTTCTTAAAATTAAACCCCCATCCGACGGCCTCGAGAGCGCCAACGCGACACCGACGGCTGAGATCTTGCCCCTCGTAAATTTCAAAAATAAAAAGAAAGAAAGGGAGGATTTAGGTCGAGCGATCGAGCACCGCCATTGCTCCAATGTCTCGATCGATCATCAGGTGAATCAGTGAAATATTTCCAGGAGCTGAGATCCTCCCAGGCATAGCAAGCGCTGCGATTTCGTCTTGTGCGCGATCAACTGCTGTCCCTACGCCGCATTCTCGCAAGAAATCGCTTGGCAGCGGAGCGATGTAGAACCGGGGCGCTCGATCGCTCCCTGGCGGTACGGTATTTCGACCAATCGAGCTAGTTGCTACTTAGATCTCGTGAGTGCTTCCGAAAAAAAAAATCCTAGCTCCAAAAGAATTTCTTATTTCCTCCATCCAGCTTGTGCTTCCTTATTCGAAACCAATCATTTTTATTGTACACTATGTTTCTTCCTCTCACTCACTCACTCACAACTGACGATTCAGCAGGATGGCAAGGACGATCGCCGCGATCAACTTGGAGTGGACGAGGAACGAGCCAGCAGCACCACTACAGTCGGCTCTCTCGAATCCAACTCTCGATCTCTCGTTGTCATACTCCACAAGGTAATTGCTCTGCTGGTAGTTTCCCAGTACGTTGATCTTGCCAAAACCACTTTTCTGGGAGCTTAGGATCGCCAGGCACACCGTAACTTCGTTGCCGGCAGCAGAGACCGGCACGAACAGATGCTCGAAGCGGAGCTCCAGCCTGACATTGTTCTGCAGCGACAGCCTCACCTCCGGCACGCCGGGAAGGCTCGAGCCAGCCGAGATGTTGTAGCAGTCGTCGAACCCCGCGGCCGCGCCAACTTTCTTCCGCAAGCCCGACCGGTTGGAGGCGGCGAAAGCGTTGCGGAAAGCCGTGTAGGCGTCGTCCACGACCCGAGTGAAGGTGGTGCCCGAGTCGAGGACTGTGCCTCCATCGCCGGTGCTCGGGTCAAGCTTGAAAGCCGACTCTGGAATGGCCAGAGTCTTGCCGTCGACGGAGATGGAAGTGAGGCCGACGTAGTAGAGCTGAGAGCGAGCAGGAGTGACCGGGTTATCCAGCAGCGGCGTGTAGCTAACCTTGCTCTTGGATAGGCCCGAATCACCGAGAAAGATGACGCCGGTTGCGCGAGGCTGCCAAGGCTGCGATGGGAAACAGTAGCTGAACTTGCTGCCACCAAGCCGGTCCTTGAGCTGCGACGGCAGCGAGAGATTACCTCGGTTGAATCCCACGATGCCGAGGCTGCCGAGGTCGACGAGAAACCCCTGCGGGCTGTGAGCACAGCCAAAGGCAACGTCGCGGAACTGGACGGCTTGGCTGCTACTGTTGGTGCTGTTGAGGAAGATCACGTCCTGCGAAAAGTCCCCGGTGGAGTTTCGCGAGTCGCCATAGGAGAGCGAGTACGTGCAAGCGGCGGACGAGTTCACGCAGGGCTGGGACGAGCCATTGGAGGTTTGCTGCTGGACGGCCAGGCAGAGTTGCGAGATGCAAGGAACTTGGCGGTAGCTCTGGGAGGCTGCCGGGTCGAAGACAGGCCTGGAGCGGCTGCCGCACTGGACGAGCACGGCCTCGCTCCCCGTGTCGATGATGGCGCTTAAATTCTTCTGGAGTGAGCCGATTCCCAGCTGCATGGAGAAGAGCGCGTAGTCTTCGAGCGGCGTGACCACGGACCTCACTCCACTGGTTGGCCGATTCCCTCGCAAGTCAAGGTGATTGTTTTGGTTGTCTTGGACTTGAGACTGGATCCTGCTCAAGCTCTCACGGACTTGCTCCTGCAGGAAAGTTGGGAAGACTGGACGCCAAAAGGAGCTGAGAGGCCTGTCCTCTCCGGCGGCACGTACCACGAAGAAGCAAACGACGATGGAGAAAACGCTTTTGAGACGCTGACCATAGCTCTCGCTGGAGTTTGAGCGGAGATGGGAAAGAACTTCTCGCGATCGAGGCATGATCTTTCAGAGCAGTGAATGGTCGTCGAGCTTAAAGCAGGTTGCTCACTAGTGGGAGGTGATGACAGATGCAAGGAATCAGTCAGGCCACCGCGAAGTCAACTTTCCCGGAAGGAAAAAAAGATTTCTCGGCATAGTACGTCAACGAGGTACATGTTTTTCGTCTATTATCAGTGGCCTGCTGACGCTCTACGTGACTCTTGCATGCAAACGCAATCGCTCAAAAACATTTTCCGGAAAGCAGCAATCAATACCTTGAATGATTTGCGTCGTCTCTCAAATCTGCGCACCCCAGACATCTTGCCTGGCTTTTAGTCGCCAGCCTTTGAGCTCGCTGCCCTCGATGCTGCTGATGGATGGAGCGATGTCCGAGCCTTGGGGAACTCTCACCCGAGCAACGAGCTTCTGCCGGGCCTTGAAAAGCGACACGGGTTCTCTCACTCCGAGCTGCTTCAGGTGCTGCTGGAGCTCCTCCTCCGTGACCGTCGGGTTGAGCTCCGAGATGAAGATGGTGGGATCGCTGTCGGCGTCGTCGCGTTTCAGAGGTGGCGGCCGAGTTTGAGCCGGGGACAGCTTCACAAGCTTGCCAGTCTCCTTTTCAATCTTGTTCTTGACATCTCGCACGGCTCCCAGTTCGTAGAGCCGCTCTAGCGTTAGCTTGTCCCAAAGGATCTCTGGAATAGAAGTAGCGGTGAGGATCTTGTTCGTAAGTTTGTGGAGTTATAACACACCTGTTGGCTTTGGGAGGCTCGTTCCTGTGAAGATGATTCTTGTTGGCGTGCATATAACATCCACAGGAACGTCGTGTTTTGCCATGAGCTCGATTGGCATGTCACTTACGAGTTGCTTATCGTCCACTGCGAGCGAGAAAAGAGAGAAAGAAAAGAATAAGAACAAGCTCGCGATGAATGGAACTTAGTATTTACCTGTAGTCACCACCAGCGTTTTCTCGTTTATTTTCATGCGTCGAAGAAGCACGTATTCCATGTCTTCCAGGCCCTGTTATCCAATTCTCAGTATCAAGAACATTTCACTTTCGAAAAAGCTTTCTTACGTCGCCTTTGCCAATCCTTGCACCAGTTTGAGGATCAACAGCAACGGAGCCCACCACAATGAAGTTGACAATGACGAATTCATCCATTTTCATGTCCCTCCCGAAATTTACAAACTCTGGGAACACTCGGGTTAGAGCCGAGTCGATCACATTGCAAAAAAGGAAGCCTTACTTCCTTTCATGCACGCCTCTGCTATCTGCGTGGTAGTCATGGCCGCGGGGTTGATCATCCTGAAAGTACCAGTTTGCAAGTGAGGAATAAGAACACTCTTCTTTGCTGCGACGTAAATGTAAGTCTTCGAATGCCATGGTTTTCTACGAGCCCGGTACCTCGCAGTAGCATGGTTCTCACGGGCTTGAGAACCGTGTCGGATCCTACGCAAACGCAAAAAGAATCACGATACTCGGGCAATTTCCTCGAGAGCTGTGAGCCAACAATCAAAGAAGAAAAACTAAGAGTTGAACGACGTAGAAACGAGGAAAGGATCGTCACTTACCGTGTACGCAGCCACATTTGCACCACGGAAGACGGGATATCGATTCCTTGGCACTGTGCTCACGCCCGATTCGCACAAGCTCCACACTTTCTTCCTCACAGCCCATTTCCAAGCGGCCTCACCGGATTCCGCCAATGCAGCTACATCGGAGCTCGATCGCGAGCTTGCCAGTCGATTCCAGCACGCCAACGCCGCCCGCCGAGCCCTGGAGCGCAGCGCAGCTTCCATCGCTCACCATAAACCCTAGATACCCGCCATAAACCCTAAAATTTCCAAATGCTGGGGAGGAAGCTCCGGGCGCCGCTCCCTCGCATTCTCTGGACGAGGAGCTCATCGTCCTCGAGCTCCTCCTCCTCGAGCTCCTCTTTCGAGCCCCATGACGCTTGGAAATGGCTGATCCGGCAGCAAGTCTGGGACACATTCCGGATGAAACAGCGCCGATTTCCAGTGTTTGACGATCCCCAGGCGGCGGCGGAGAAGGTTTGTTCGTAGATTTTGATTTCTTTGCGGCTCATCTCTTCCATCCAGGTCCGAAAGCTCCCGGAATTTCAAGAAGCTCAGTGCGTGTATGTGAGCCCCGATGCTCCACAAAGGCCAATGCGAGCGATGGTATTAACAAGTATTACGTGGGACTGCTCGATGGTTTCCTTTGTTCGCTCTCGCAGAGAGCAAAGCTTACGAAGCTCTCTCTTGGTTTGCAGACCAGAAAAAGCTTCTCGTCTCGCGATTGCCAAAGGGATTGTTCACGATGATGGATCCTGTTCACTTGTCCGATTTCGACACGATGAAAGCCTTGGAGCAACCAGGTGCGTGCTGCGATTTTCGGTGTGAGTTTGATCAAATGAGAAGTATGATCCTTTTATCCTGCAGAGTTTAAGATGGATGGCATCCCGATTGGACTCGACGCAAGAATGAGAGTCCAACTCTTGGTCACTGGCTCTGTTGCTGTTGATCCAAAAACTGGAGCTCGTCTCGGCAAAGGCGAGGTAAGCTACTATCCATGGATCTTCCAAAGGAAAAAAAATCTTTTCTTTCTCTTCAGGGCTACTTTGACATGGAATACGCAATTCTTCGTCATCTCAACATTGTCAACGAATCAACGTTAGTGGTTACTACAGGCGAGTGGCCGCTTTCCTTTCCTTGAAGTTTTTCAATCGATCTATCTAAAATTCCGATTTTTTTCCTTAGTGCACGATGACCAGCTTGTGATTGATCTTCCGGAAGACAAGCTCCTCAAGTACGATGTTCCAGTGGATGTTATATGCACCCCAAAGAGGACCATCTACACCCAGACTAAAATCCCAAAGCCAAGTGATGGTAACGTGACAAATCTCCTCACTACCGTTGTCACTCTTTGATTTTTTTTCTGCAAGGTATTCTATGGGAGTGTTTGCCACGCCATATGCTCAGCAAGATGCCCGTCCTGCGAGAGCTCAAAGACGCAGTCGAGAAGAAGCGAGAGGCCGCTGTGGAAATGGCTGCAAAGACAGATCCACCGCTCATTGCTCCCATCGAGACTGGACCCGCGATTTTCATCAAAAGCCTCAATCCCACTCTCACGGAGCAGGAGCTCAAGTCACATTTGGAGCAGCATGGATTAGCGGCGGAGGAGCTGTCGCTCTACAGGACCGGAACCGGGAAAAACGTTGCTCGAGCAGTGATAGCCCAAGGCACGGACGTGGAGAAATGCGTCACCGCGATCGACAACACAAAGCTCAAAGGCTGGATCATGAGAGCCAGGAGGGATAAACACACCAAGGAAGAGGAGCCACCTCCAGACCCGGCTATGGTGGCTCGGCAAGCAGCGGCTCAAAGGATCCGAGGCACGCGTTTCTTCTAAGCAAGTCGAAGATATCTATTTGGATCGTCGTCCTCATCATCGCAGGGATTCACAGCGATCGGAGACGTGAAAGAATGGATGAGCTATGGAAGCTATCATGATCGTCCTCCTTGGTGGAAGGCGTTTCTTTTCGGCCTTGATCTTGCTTGGCAGCGTGGTTTTCTTGTCCCAGCCGCTCTCCAATTTTTTCTAACACTACAATGTGCTCCTCTTGCTTCTTCTCGGAGGAATTCTCCTTTTTGACACGCTTTTATACTTACAATCTCGCGGGGAAGACAGTCAAAATACGTTTTTTTTAAAACTAGGTCGGATAAATCTTAGGCGTGAGGATCTTGTCGCCGCGGGGAGAGATCAGGCGGGCGCTACCAGCATTGTTGTCTATTTCCAGAATTTTTGCCGTGAGCAGGCCTCGAGCGCTGGGGACGCCTGGAAGTGGACAATAAGGAAGAAGGTTCTGGAATTGGTCGTGCAATTGAACTACCATTGAACTACCAGCTTACGCTATTCATTTAGACACATTCTCTATCAGAAGTATGGAAGATTTTTTCTTTAAAAACAGCATCCCTCTCATGGTTGTCACTTGCTCTCCTTCTCTAGTGTCTATTCTTGTCGCCATGAAAGCTGCAAATGCAGTGCCAATCATAAATGCTCCAATGAACTTCTCCCTTGGATTCAACATCAGTTTGGCTGTGACATCGAAAAGAGAGTTATCAAGGCTAAAAGATCAATCATGTAAATCATTTTCTCATTTTCTCTTCTTGCAGAGCTAATTTGTAACAAAGTGTTTATCTTTTTGCTCTTACTTCATTCTTTCTCTAATGGCAATAGAGCAAGATAGAGCAAAGGCAAAATCTGCCACTGTTCCTACCCTCTATATGACACTGCTTTAAATTGGTTTCTTCTTGCTCCTAAAAAGGTTTGGGGTGTGATTTCATCACTCTTTGCAAAAGAAGCATAACTCTTGAAGAACCCAAAAGTTTTTTGGCTAGCCCAATTTAACAAAATCGCAAATCTTGTGAATTGCTATATACGGGTCATGTATCATTAATGTTATTTGAAGTAGATCTTGGTCCTTTTGCTTATTTAGACTCATTGCTTTATGTATTACTATAAATCTAAATATTGCTCTAGTATATGTTGCTATCGTCTAGATTGATGAGAATGCAGTGGATTTTTCAAGCAATCTACTGAGGGATATTCCCCATCGATGTGGACCTGCCATATGGTTCTTGGCCTTCGTACTCATTTTTAGAGGATACAGCCTGATAGGTCTTATGGCCTTGGAGTCGGCGAGGCAAGAGCAAGTCAGCAGTATCAATGATGAGGACTCTTTGTGGGTATGGACGCAGGAGCCTGTGATTCATCTGAATCAGCTGCATGGGATCCTTGTGCTGTGGTGCTCACCTGCCTATGCACCTCTGCCGCTGTTGAACATCATGTGTCCTGTTGATAGCTTCGTGGTGGTGAATTGGCAAGGATTTGAGACAGGTTTCCAAGAATGGTGGGCATCTCACCATACTGATCCTGTGAAAGGTGTAAAAGACGTGCAAGTGTTTAAGCATAAGTTGCTAAACATGTCTTTAAAGTATACTAACATAGTTTTATGAATTATTATTTATCCT